CAAGAGGATCAATGCCCATATCCATGGTTATTTTGCTATCAAGAGGTCTTCTAGCAGGTTTGTTGTCCTCCATTTCAACTTCTTGGAGAAAATCGAGATTATGGCCCTGTTTGACTTATATTCTTTCAAAAAATACATTTTTAAACAGTTATTCGACATTATTTCAACCACACATTCTTCAAAAAATAATATTACACGCAAATCCAAATTTTTTTCATATTTTTTAACCACATATTTTCCATCAAAATCCTATTCAAAAATGCATTCTTACGAAAATAATGTGGCTCAAACAAGGGCTATATTTCCTGTGGTTGAGGAATACACCTTTGGAAGAAGTAGTCATTTCAATGCCAAGGAAATCTTTCAGAAAACCAAGATCTTTGATAGCAAATATTTGCCTAAGAGAACATTTGAGAGGCTCACTTTCATCAAAATTATCACCTATAATATTAAGATCATCCACATAAATAAGGACAACCAACTTGCCCATTGATCCAATGTGAACGAAAATAGAGGAGCCAACATTGTTTCATTTGAACCCAACTGCTTCAAAAATGGAGCTTCGTTTGGCATACCACGCACAAGAAGATTGTTTTAACCCATAAATTGATTTATGAAGCTTACAAACAAAAATTGGATCGTGTGTTTGAAGATGGCCGAGAGGAAGTTTCATGTAAACTCTCTCTTCAAGATCTTCATGCAAGAATGCATTTTTAACGTCTATTTGGTACAATGGATGGTTAACAACAACAGATAGCACAACCCTCACAGTATTCATTTTAGCTACAGGGGCAAAGGTCTCCTTATAGTCAACACCAAAGGTTTGTGCTCCCTCATCAAATCTAACTTCACGTGATACAACTTCTTTTTCAATGATAGGATTGTAGCACTTATATCCCTTTTGTGTGGATGAGAACCCAAAAAACAAACATTTATCAACGCGAGGATCAAGTTTATCACGATTTTGTGATTGAATATGGACATAAATTGTGAATCCAAAGAATTTTAGGTGAGACAAATCAATCTTTCTATCCTTTATCACTTCGTAGGGAGATTTGAAATCTAACACACAACTAGGCAGTTGGTTAATAAGATAGGAAGTAGTAAGAACACCATGAGACCAGAACTTTTTATGTACGTTCATTTGAAACATTAGAGCTCTAGTTTTCTCAAGCAAATCTCAATTTTTATTAGGGTGTTCCAACATAACTTGTTTGGTGTATAATGCCATGTATGCTCAAATATTATGACATGTTATTAGACATATACTCAGTGCCATTATTGCATCTTAAGGTGTGAATGTTGGTTGAAAGTTGTGTGTTGACTAGTCAGTGAAAATCCTAAAATGGATTCAACAATTCACTCTTAAATTTTAAAAGATATAAAGTATCGTTGAGTAATCATCAATAAAGGTTAACAAATATTTGTATATGTCAAAAGATCAAAAAATTGGACCCCAAATGTCAGAGTGCACAATTTCAAACAGCTTACTAAACTTAGACATAGAAGTGTCGAAAGAAACCCTACCAAACTTCGACAAGTGACAAATGTCACAAGTCATGGAGGTTTTATAAAAAATTGGAAACTACATTGACAACACTATATCAGTAGCATGAGCTATACATTGATCTTATGCGGGATTGGAACTAATTTGTAAACTTTTGGAAATTTGGGGATCCTTTGATAGATAGTACAATCCATTCAGGTAAAAACCATCACCAATCTTCTTCCTGGTGGCAATGTCTCGGAAAATGTTAAAATGAGGTGAAAAATTGGCAAGGCAATCAAAGAGTTTGTGATTTTTCCAACAAATAAGAGATGACAAGGAAATGAAGGAACATAAAGAGCAACTCACTACACACTTTTGGAAATTAACTTGATTTTCCCTTGCCCTAACACTGAAGCACGTTTACCATTAGCGACTAAGACTTGAGATGGGTTGGACAATTTTTCAAAATCATATAAATTTGACATTTGACTAGTCATGTTATATGTTGCACTGATGTCTATTATCTTATAAACATGCACAAAGTTAACTTGAAGAGCAGTAGAGAAAGCTTCTAAAAAACCTAGAATGTCATGGGATGATATGCCATCAGTCTCAGCAAGAAATCCAGTGAATTGCCCCCCAGAGCATAACCCAGTGGTGCAAAGGACAGGAGTGAGGTAGTCTCAGTCTTGCTGGCAGCCGCAGTGTGAGGGTCCAATACTTGAGATATGGAATTTGACTCTTTGTGGGCACCAGTGTACGGACAAACTCTTTTTCTTAATCTGTTGGGGCACATCCCACGATTCATCTCCCTCACGATACTCCAAGGACGGGACGGTGGAGACCCTCAAAGTTGGGGTTCAACCTTTAAGAAATCCAGTGAATTTACCTAGTAGGGCAGTAGAGTTCTCAGGTCTAAGAGTGGTCATTTGTTCACCATCATCATTCCATTTTTCTATTTTTGAAGATATACGAAAAATTCATTGATCAAGGTGGCATGATTGGACGTTAAATTCATTAGAACTTCAGTTGATGGTTAAAAAGCAATTGAGCTTTCAGCCTTAGGACTATGAAGGTTTTCTTAGGAAGATAGAGATTAAAAAAAAAAGAAAAAAAGTGAATGAAATTATTTAGATACAGGTTCGGTTAAGGATTTTGCTCTACACCATGAAGAAATTTTTGTTTTGTGTATTTTATATGTCCGATATGTACAGAAGATATATAAAAGAAAAGCCTATAAAGATTGAGTACAGACTGCTCAATCTCTTCTTAAATCTAGCTGTAGCTTGCGGGACATGAAAAGGATGGCAACACTCCTGGAATTAAAGTAGGCAGCAGGCTCCTGGAATTAAAGCATGGCTGCAGTGATATAAAAGAGTGAGTGACAGTGAGCGACTTCTAATAAAAATTGTTTGAAAATGAATTCGGAGGCAATAAAATCCTAGTATCTAAAGTGCGTGATTTTGTGAAATTAACGTCAACTCTCGACTTTTCAAAAAAAAAAAAAAAAAAAATTGAACCCCAACCTTGAGGGCCTCCATCGCCCCGCTCCTGGAGTATTAGTGAGGGAGGTAAATCGCGGTATGTGCTCCAGCAGGATAGGGAATAAGAGTTTGTTTGTACATTGGTGCCCACAAAGAATCCAATTTCATATATCAGGGATCGAACCCTCACACTGCGGCTGCCAACAAGGCTGAGGCTACCTCACTCCTGTCCTTTGTACCACTGCGTTATGTCTCGGGGGCGACTCTCAACTCTTAATTTTGCTTTTGAGAGTGGTATGATGTTTTTTTAGGTCTACATGACTAGTCAAGGAATTATGACATTGTTGGAGAGATGTATTCCAGCAAAATAAAATGTTGTTCACAAATCAATCTGAACACTCTAGTGAGTAATCAAAATAAACGTTAATCGGAAGCACATATATACCAACACCAGTCCAAACTTATTAAGTCAGATTTGGAAAATTCTTTCCTATCCTTATTTAGAGTTTCGGTTGGGTAAGATTACACTTGTCAGAGTGATCAATATTACATGTGATGGTTGGATTATTTTACTTTTTGTGTTGTATTGGTTCATAACGTTTGTGATGAATATTGAACTTGGTGTCTCGTGATTGAACTTATTTTTTTAGTTGAAATATGTCATATTGTCGGGTTGAGTCATGGGAGCCATACAATAAAAAAGGGATACTTTCAAGTGGGCTTAATATTGGCTCTCTTTATTACAAAAAGAGAGAGAGCAAGAGAGAGGGAACAAAAATTCTTTATTGTTCGGACTACTTAGCCCTTGTTTGGTCTCCATTTTCTAGAAATGAAAATGGGTAGAATAGTATTTTTTTTTAAAAATGAGTGGTTGAAAAAGAAGAAAAAGTTTTCGATATACGTGTAATATTATTTTATAAAAGATTGTATGATTGAAAATATGAAAGAGAAAAATAAAATGTAATGGAATGAAAATTAATGAGGGTCAAACAGGGGTTTAGATTTAACTTTTCATAAGTTATTAATATATAAAGCTAATATGCTTGGATCACCCACATTAGACAAGACATTAGTAGAGCATGACTTCTTCAATTTACTTCAATAGTTGAATGCTCAGCGACATCGGTATCCAATATTATCCAATATAATCTGAAACTTGTTCACAGCACCCGAGGCTTTATAAATACTTACCAAACATAATGTCTATCATGTAAGATCATATGTTACATTAATATGCATGACATGATCTAGGCAATATTGCAATGTGAATAAAAGCACACATTTGTATCCATTAATGGCTTCAAGGAAATGGTAACTTTTCGGCATTTGCTGTTGCTGACTGCTAATGTAGAAAAGAAAGTATGTTTCTTTTTAAATCTTTACTATGTTGTATTTATTTCAGTTGTTAATTTTATATACAGGATATTCATTCATGTACAATTTTGTAAATATATAATCTTATGCTTACACTTTCCTTACAAATTCACATCTTCATTATATTTCGAGAATGAAAATGCAATTTTCAGCTAAAAAAAAAAAAGAGAGAGAGAGAGGCGAACCGAGTGGCTCGTGAGCCGAGCACAACTTTCTAGAGGCAAGTCGAGCTACTCTTATCTAGAGGTAAAAAACATTAATACACACACCTGAGAACAACAATAAAAAATAGTCTTATTTTATTTTATTTTTTGGTGATAGGAGAATCCGCAACCGCTACCTTTCGGATGCGCATTTAGTAAATCTTTGGGCTGACACAATAGCCTACAGACCATGCCAGCCAAGTAAACAGCGCTAGACAAGCCCTGTGCGACAGACTCGACCGATAAAGTGTTGATAAAGAGAATCGAACTCATGACCAAAGGTCTCCACGTTCATCTCCTCCACCAACTCGACCACCCCATGAGGGGCAAAATAAAGTCTTATTTTCAATCTATTTAAGGTTGTTCGATCAACTTTCTAATGGACAAAAGAAAATTTAAATAAGTGTGTGAAGAATAAGAAGATAACATTACAAAAAGAAAACAAAGACATTAAATCCAACAAAAACATATTTCCTTGTAATTAAAGCCAACTTCACACAATATAATTGAATGATCACTCTATAATCTAAGCCAGCTGCATGATCCATGCATATAGCTGGAGTTAAAAACCAGCTCCATGCTATTACACCAAATAAACTAAAATAATAATTCAACAAAGAAGAAAAAAATGGAATCAGCCTTTACATATATATGAACTATAATCAGTAAATCACTCATCAGAACCTGAAAATACATTGACCATAATTTGCATGACTTTAACTCTCATTTGCAAAGCTATTATGTAATCTGCTGTCTCTCTAAAAAGCCTATCCAATCCCATTGATTCACAGTTTGGCATTGATTCACAGTTTGGAATAAGTTTCTTCAGGGTTCTTACCTTCCTCTCAATCTGGTTTCTGGCCGGGCTGACCGGCCTCCGGGAACGATCCAGAAGTGCCCTCCGTTTCATTAAAATTCTTCTTGATTTTCCGTTCTTGATATGCCCTCTTCTGATGCTACTAGCTCTTTGGGAAGACCATTTTCTCCTGGCTTTGGATTGTTTGAGTAATTTGTTGAGAAATTCAAGGGATTCAAGAAGAGGCTGTTGAGAAACACCCATGATAGAATTATAAAATGATTCTTGAAAGACTCTTATTTGTGCCCTTGACGACTCTTGCCAAATTTTTCTGTTTGAAGAAAACTGATCAGTTGTCTATGAGGTAGCACAATGAGAGTTT